CTTGGAGGCTGTGGCTATTTCAATTTTCAGCCATTGGAAAGTTTTTCTTCTTCTTGAGATTTCACAAAATTCTGGGTTCTGGCTTGAATCCATTACCTTTCCCAGTGTTCTCAGAAGGGAATTACTAATTTTTCTTGAGAAACATTTCTCTGCCTCCAGTTTGCAAGCCTCACGCAGGCCAGAATGAGACATCAGACGCGTCTCTTCTCTCACTCCATGTTTTAAAGCCGGCCTAGCCCTCGCTTGCAGGGGGTGGTCGCACCTTCTAGACAATCGGTCCCAGCGGTTCATCTTCATGGTTGTGGCCTCTGAAGGTCCCGGACTAGTTTCCAGAAAAGAGAGGCCCAGCTGGCCCATAGAATATTAGATGATGTCACTGTTTTTCTCTGGCCAAGCTCAGATGGGCGCATTTTGACTTGTGAAAGTCACATATACTCTTTCCGTGGCAGCTTTCAATCATGGTGTTGAAGATGATGTTAAAGAGAAAACCGTGGGGCCATGATGGAGCCACTTAAGTTAAAGCCCAGTGTCACTAAACCAAGAATTACCACCTAGCCTAACTGCAGTTTCCGTGCCCTCAGGAATGCAACCCTTTACCAGACACCCTGGAATTTCTTGCAGGCAATCGTCTGAGAGACCCCTACTCCCTTAGGAGGTCAACGTTGCCAAAACAATGCATCCTGTGTTGTTGTTGTTTTAATGGTTTCTCTCTGCCTTCGAAAGTTTTTCCTCTCCTGGAGCTCCCCTCTACTTGCTAGATGGGCTGCTGCCCCGTTTATGACTCATTTAATAAAGCCAGTTGGCTCATCAAATGTACTTGGTTGGATCGCTTTTTGTTTTTCATTTTTAACAATGATGACATTTCACTGACCCATCGCCATGTGCCCATTGCGATGCTAAATGGCTTAACTGCCTTACGTTGTTTACGGCTCCCAGGAAACTGGTGGGTTTGGTATTATTAATATTATCTCCCATTTTATAGATCCAAAAAGAGGGTCAGAGATACTAAGCAACTTTCCCCAGGCCACCTGTTTGCCCTCCTTCCCCTCCTCACCCCTACCCCCTGTCATCACAACAATATTGGTCAAGAGGGGCCTGGGATGTCTCCGGAGGAGATTAGAGAAGTGACCTCTGCCCTGGGTCTGGGCTTAACTCAACATCTTGTAGCAAATGCATCATGTGTTTCCTACGTGGAGTCAGCCAGGACCTTCTCTACCCAGATCCATAACCCACGGCTAAGATCATAACCCTTGACCAAATTTTAGTCAGGCTCCTGTGAATCCGCTTCCTAACAAGACCTTGACTTTGGACTTCTTGTGTCCATCATCGCATGACCCAATTTTAGCAAGAATGCAATCAAGTCCTTTTAGCCAGACTCCCCCCATCCTCAACTCCTAACCGCCCTTGATCCTTGAGCAAATTCCTGGTCTGATAAGGGGTTGGCTGATCGTCCTGACCTGCCTTCAGCAAGGATCATATTAGGCCAGTGTAGCAAGGAATTACCCTACACTTTTAGTATTTTTCCACCCACCGACCCCCTCCAGCTTGCTCCTCGGCTGTAAGTCCCCACTCCTCCTGGTTGGATTCAGAGTGGAGCCCAGTCTCTCTCTCCCCGACTGCCAGAGCCCCTGGCACTGCTCCCTCTGAATAAAGTCTGCCTTACCATCTTCAACAAGTGTCAGAATAATTTTTCTGTCGCACCCTCTGAGGGCGACAGATCAACTCTGAGGGCAGAAAAGGCCAAAATGATCTAAACGGAACCATCAGAACCTCTGGGGTGGGACTCCAGCGTCAATATTTTTTAAAGCTCTCCAGGTGGTCCCAATGTGCAGCCAGGGTTGAGAACCTGTAATCTAAGACAAAAGGAAAGGCAAGATGGTCCTGTTTCATCAAAACCTACTTAGTGATTCCTTCCTAATGCTCTGTCTGTAACATGGGCCATTTTCCAGGACCCTACAGCATTAAGAAACCTTAGCATGCACAAGGCTAAGGGCCAAGGACAATTAATCCAATTACAAAAGACTTCACTGGAAGATTTCCCAAAATTACAAGCATCCCCAACAGTAAGCCTATCATTTGCTTTACAGGACTCAAGATTATCATCTTCCTTTCAGAATGTACCTGTGGGATTCCTTTCTATCAGGCACAAAAACAAGGCAAAGCAGATCTATGCTGGTACAGGTCTGGAGAAGGCTACTCCAGCTGAGCAGTGATGGGAAGGAGGCAGACGTGGCCCTCTTGGGGGACCTGGTCACATTCTCTTGTCTTCACCTGCGTGTCTTCACCTTGCATGGGCCTGCTCAGCTCTGAGTATGTTCCCTTTGAATTTATTTTTATTTACTTATTTTGGAGGGGGGAGGGGCAGAGAGAGAGAGGGAGCAAGAGAATCCCAAGCAGGCTCCGAGCTGTCAGCGCAGAGCCCGACGCGGGGCTCGAACTCATAAGCCGTGAGATCATGACCTGAGCCGAAGTTGGACGCTTAACCGACTGAGCCAGCCGGGCGCCCCTGGGTACGTTTGCTTTCGTCAAAAGTTTACAAGTTGAACAGGTATGTGCCTAACGCATTTCAAGCTAGGAAGCAGGCAGGAATGTGAACACGCACACGTACGCACACACGCACAGACACGCCCACACTCCCACATCTGTGCCTCCACTCTAGGCCCACACCAACAGAATATTCTACTCAACCTATCTTTGTTTGCTGCATTCTTCAGGGCCCCGGAACACTGCGATAAAAATAATTCCTTTTAGCATGGTAATTTATTGCCACAATCAGCTTCTCAGCATTGTTTGCAAAATTACCCTTTCAGGAACCACTAGCAACGGGAAATGCCAGAGCCCAGCCCTCTCTCCCGCTGACTGGGGTAGCTTGGAGGCCAGGACAGTCTGTCCTGCACAGTCTGGGTTCAGGCTCTTTTCACCTTCTTGCCAAAGGAAATTAAGTGGCCCCCTAACAAGCCTAAAATACTCCCCCTGACTTCGCCCCGGCAAATTTTCCAAGACAGTGGTGGCATTTGCTGGGGTGGCGCCTCCTCTAGAAGGCCTGGGGCAGTGGTTGTGGATGTCCAGGGAGGGGGGGTTGGGGTCAGAAGGGTCTGGTAATCCGAGTTCCTTGGCTAATAAATGAGCACTGCGGCCCTGGCCAGGTGTCTCTCTTGGCATCCGTGCTTTCTCACCTGCAAACTGGGAATGGAAATAGGTCATGGGATTGGTGGAGGCAAAGCAGTTGTCGCGTGGGTGTGGCTGGTGTCCCGTTAGTCCTTGTCCCCTCCCATACCCTTCCCCGCGCCTCTACAGTTGCTCCTGGGAGCTCTTCTGTGATGCAATGACTTGCACTCAGATGAAACACTTGCTTCTGGAAAGCCTGACCCAAGATGGCGAGAGGCATCCTGCATCTTGGATGTGGTCTCTGGAGTCCCCTACGGCTCCTCACACAGGGCATGTCTGAGACAGAATTGTCTTCCCCCACGGTCTGGGTCCATCACCCAAGCCCCGGACCTGCTAATCATACAAGGCTCGCTCCCCTACCCCCACCCTCCACAACGGACTGGTCACAGAATCCTACCACTTTGGACCCCTATATAATGTACCTGATTATTTCCATCTCCTTGTGTCTCCCAACCACGGCTCAGTCTGAGCTCTCGCACCCGGCCTCTGTGCCCCATCTGGTCTGGCTGCACTCCACACCCCACACTGCACTCTGACAGCTTCTTGAAACATCTCTTTTTCTCATTTTTCTCCTGCTTCAACCCTCACTTTTCGGGCTAGACCTCCACCTTCTCAGTGCTGACACCCTTGATGATCCAGCTCCCGAATCTCACCAGCCTCCTCCCTTCGCTCCCCAACCCCACCTCATGCGCGACATCCCCCACCCCCACCCCGTCCGGTGCCACATCATCCGCCCACTGCTGTGGGTGGCCCGGTGCAATCCCCTGGTTCCCTCGGTATATCCTATTCATCCATCAAAGCTCTGCTCGGGCATCACTGCTTCCGGGAGGCTTTCTGATGCCCCCGGGCTGATAAGCCAGCCAGCTCTGTGTCCCCGCCAAGCATCCTGTCCACGTCACCATCATTGCCTTTCCAAAGCTTTGCCTTTCCATTGCAAAACCCCTCAGCGTCCTTATTTGTGTCCTGGCTTATCTAGAAGTTCTGGGGGTAGGGGTGCACTGCTCCTCGTTGATCTCACTGTCTCCATCACCATGCCAGGCACACAGCAGCCACTCCAGAAGTGTCATCTGGACACATAAGATGACACACATAAGATTTCCCGGCAGACAGGTGGGGTCAAAGAATCCACCATTCTCCTCTCCGGCTCCTGTGGCCCCGCATCTTGAAGGCACTTCACCAACAAGCCCTACTTGCCGGCTCTAGGCAGATGCAATCCGGGCAGAATCAACGTGTGTTGTTTGCATATGATTTGCCAAAATTTGCATGTAATTGGCTTATGCCTGCAGAATCTAATCTCTGGCCATTTGAATTTGATGCTGAAGCCAGAGCGTGTTGATTCTCAGGAGAATTGTCCCCTCTCTCTCAGATGATCTCTCCACTCTCCCTCCCAGGCCGGCAGCGGTGCCCCCGGCAAGTGGGGCATCAGAGGCCGCTGGGGGGTGAGAAGATGCTAGATGAGAGGCAAAGGGCCAGGAAAAGGATGCATGCTTTGCTTTTATAGCACGGGGAGCAGCGTGCGTATAAAGGATCCCAACCAGGCTGAAGGCAGTGGCGTGCTTTCCATGTCTCTGGCCTCTGCTGAACTGGGTCTGGGAGTCAGCGCCACCCAAGCCTTGAGCCCAAGACGGGACTTTGGAGTGAGAAGAGATCGGGTGACTAAACGAGGTGGGGTGACGTCCTACAGGAAGAACAATAGCACAGAACAGAGACCTGGGTATCCAACGGGAATCGGGGCCACAGGCAGGCAGGAAAATCGAGTGCCCCCAGAACGCCCAGAGACGCGTCAGAGACGTCAGCTTGCCTCAGATAAAAGACCAGGTTTTCCAGGTGACTTTAATAAAATCCAAAATGACAAACTGATGACAGCACATTGAAGGATTTGGGGGGGGGGGGGGGCGGGCCCAGGGTGATCTGGGAGTTATAGAAGGTCTCCAAGCTGTTGATTCTCATGTAGCTGGTGACACTCTCCTCCCTAGCTCTACCCTTTCATTCATTCATCCCTTCCAGGGCCACCCAGTACCTCCCTTTCCCACTGTGGTTGTAGCCAAAGGTCCAGGAGTCAGGCAGAGAATCTGGGGTGGGCGTGTGGTCGACCAGCACACTTAGGACCACACAGCACGAGTGGTCTTGCGGACAAACGGACACAATTGCCCCTTAGCCAGTCGCACCCGGATAGCACGATGTCCTAGGTAGCATTTGCTACACTCCAGATACGAAACCCCCAGAAGCGCTGGCTGCTTCACGCCTGTTTCCCCAGCCTACGAGGTGCCAGACAGACGCTCTCGCGTGACGCCGAAGATGGTCACCACGAGCCCAGACGTTCCCGTGCTTGGCTTACATTTTTCTGTCTGGTGTCTAGGAAATAGCGTCTCGCAAACCAGCCCTCTCAAGGAGCTCGTGTTGCTGAAGACCCAAAGGCAACGGTTTGAGGCGGCTGCGCTGGGAAGTAGCTTTGACTATACAAAAAAGAAAAAAAACATCCACGGAAAGTACTTTTGACTCCTGAAGTTCCCAAGCACCGGGACTTTAAAGGTTGTGCAACAATTACCTTGAGAGCCGTTTGAAAATATGGAGCCCCAGAGATTCTGGTTCCCTATGTCTTGGGCGAGTTCCAACGTCAGCGTGAGTAGGATTCAGATGGGCAGCCAGAAACGAAGCTCGCTGACTCAGACCATGAAGTCCTGCCCTTGAGGCCACTGCGGTACAGATTACAGATCGGTGGGAAGTGGGCGAGGGTCTCTGATAACAAAGTTCCCGGGGAAGGAAGGGTTCTATATCCACCCGAACAATCTTCAGGCTTGTCATGAGGCAGGAGCTCGTGTTAATCTTTCAGGAAAGTGGGTGGCTAAAGTGGGTATTCCTAAGAGCCCGCCTGTTTGAGACACAAACATTTGTTCTCTTCCTTCGTTTAGGGTTGTTTTTGTTATGCCCAGAATTCGTGATCCCCAAAGACCACTAGGGAGCCGAGTCCGATGCAAAAGCAAAGAGCCTTTATTCGAGCTAGCTCGAGCTCAGTCCCCTACCTGCACCGACGCAGCGGTGAGATACCAGGGAAAAAAAGCGAGTTTCAAAAGGACAAAGGTTTTATTGGGGCCTGGGGGCAGTTGGTGAGGTAATGGCTATGGCCTCAGCCGATTGGCTGGGGAAGGGTCCTGGGGAAGGGTCCGAGTCCTGTTAGGCAGGTGAGGGGGGGGTTACTCAAGGGGAGGAGGTGTGGTCAGGGTGAAGGACACAGAACAAGATGGAGTCGGCTGGCGTAGGCCAGCCCTTTCAGTTTTGTTTTGTTTTGTTTTGTTTTGTTGATGTGTATTTCTCTTTGAGAGAGTGAGAGAGAGCATGCAAGTGAGAGAGGGAGAGGGATAAAGAGAGAGGGGGACAGGGGCGCCTGAGTGGTTCAGTTGGTTAGGGTCTGACTTGGGCTCAGGTCAAGATCTCACGGTTCGTGAGTTCGAGACAGCTCGGAGCCTGCTTCGGATTCTGTGTCTCCCTCTCTCTCTGTTGCTCCCTGGCCTGCAGTCTGTCTCTCTCTCTTTCTCAAAAATAAATAAACATTGAAAAAAAAACATGTTTTTAAGAAGGAGGGAAGGGACAGAGGATCTGCAGTGGGCTCCATGCTGACAGCACAGAGCTCAATGTGGGGCTTGAACTCACGAACCCGAGAGATCAAGACCTGAGCCCAAGTCGGATGCTCAGCCGACTGAGCCACCCAGGTGCCCCTATAGGATTTTTACCATAAGGAGAGCTGATCTGTGCACCGTATTCCCAGCCATTTAGGCGTTTGATTTTCATTAATTTTAATTAGGAAAATTAACAACGAAGGCTGCATCACAGGCAGGTTTATTTATATTTATTGTATACGAACCTTGCCAAAGCAGGCACCAGGCATTCGAAAGAAGACCTCAGATTTAAGGCCAAATTCCTTAGTAAAGTAGGGATGGAGGAAAAAGTCTGTACGTTTTGTGTTTTGTCTAAAACTTTCAGGCCCCTCCCCCCTGCCCCCACAGCCTGGTTGTCACCGTGCTCAGATCCGACGTTACCTAGCCTTGCGGCTGCTCAGCCCAGTTTAATTAACACCTGCCCTTTGGTCCCCAACATCCTTTTAAACTGACTGTTCTCTGCCCAGATAGACTTTTACACCTGTCTTAGCAATTCCGGGAAAGATGCTTTGAAGTGCCTTTTCAAAATCCCCTGTTAATGATCTGGTAATTATTGTGGTGACTTTTCAATGGGGTGTGGAGTGCTCAGTTAGCTGTGGCCCGGAGAATCCCAAGGCCCCGGGAAGAAAGACGGAGCAAGGGAGAGAGGAAAACAAATCCTGAGTCTGGGGCTGCCCCAACATCACAGGGGTGGCCCTATATGGCCAGAGAAGGGAACCAGCCTGAGGTTGGCACAACCAGCCTGTTGGCAGATGAGACCTGGGACCTGGGACCAGTCTGATTATAGAATGTGGGGAGCCACGGGAATGGCCCCCAAACCCCTTATACCACAGCAGGCAAAGCCAAGTCCCCGGGCTGATTCCAGGAGTCCCACACTGCCCTCCATGCCCTCCCAGTCAAGAGCCTCCCTTCCTTTCACAATCCACACCCATTTTGTTTTATTTTCCAGTGTGTATTTATTTTTGAGAAAGATAGCATGAGCGGGGCAGAGGACCCAAAGCAGCCTCTACGCTGAGAGCAGAGAGCCCGAAGCGGGGCTCGAACTCACGAACTGTGAGATCGTGGCCTGAGTCCAAGTCAGACGCTCAACCGACTGAGCCCCCCAGGCGCCCCCACAGCCGTGCTAAGCAGTCAGGGCTGCGTCCAGAGAGGCCGAGCCAGAACTGTTGGTGCTTTGATCCCTGTGCCTTCAGATCCACGACGTGCAGCCGCTGGGGCCGAAAGAGGCCCAGCTGGGCAGGGCGCCCCCAACTTCTGGGTATGCCACCCCTCTCCACGCCTGTGCTCCCCAACATCCTGCTTCCACCTGCCAGAGTAAAAGGAGCACCCCAGGGGCCAAGACAGGGTGTTGGGTCTCTCACAGTCTGATCACCCTTCGTGACCAAGGAGGCTGCAAAAAACCAAGGTGTCCTGGCTGGTCCAAGTACTCGCAGCATCTGAGCTGGCCCTCTGTCCCTACTTCAAAAAAGAAAACGAGTCTAATGGAGAAGTGAAATGCCAGCCCTAAGGACCCGTTTGCCCAGGGAATCTCACGGAGCCGAGGACATCTGGAACAGGCCCCTTGTTCTACCAAGGAGACACCATAGCACTCAGGAAGGTGCCTTCGTGTGCTCAAGATCAAAGCCTCATCAGTGGATACTAGAGCTGGGACTCGAACCAGGTCCTCTGAAGCTTCTCCCCAGTCACTACCATAGCCTAAGGTCTTCATATTTGCATGCGTCCCCTCTCCTCACCCAACAGAGAGCAAGGGCCCTGGCAGCGGGAACAGCTAGGTCAACTGTGCCCTTGGCCATCTCTGACATGCCCTTGGCACAGTGGTACCCAATTACAGCTGCCAGGGTATTGGCTGATCCTCCACCTGGCTTCTGGGGCCCTGGGTCTCCAGCCCCCGCTGGCTCAACCCTGCCCCCAGTGTTGCTCCCAAGGCTGCCACCCTCTCTGGTCCAGAAACCATGGGAGTTGCCCTGATCAGTTACTGGAAATCATCTTTGCAAGCCACAGGCCCCCGTCTTTGGTTAAGCCGATGGGTGGGCTGGGATCCCCCTCTCTGCTTCGCTGGAGAAACCAGGAAGCAGACGCCCCAGGCATAAACCGTTTTATGTAATGTTTTCTACCTCCAATAATGATATAATAATATATGACAAGATGGAGGAAACACTGTTCACCAAAATTCCTCTCGGGGAGCATCTTCCGCATGTTCAGAAGAAACGGTCTAGTGTTTCTGAGTGTGGTCCCGGACCAGTGACGTCACCATCATCTGGAAATCACCTGAGACCTTGTTAGAGATGTGGATTGTCAGGTTCCCTCCTTCCTCCCCCACCCCGCTGAACAAGAAATGCTAGGATGGGGCCTTCCAGGAGATCCAGGCACAGTTAAGATCTGGGAAGCCATTTGTGGTTGTGGTATGGAAGCGGAGGGACGTGATCCAGTGGCAAAAACCAGGGCTCAACCACCTTATTAAGAGGAAGGGTCTGGGAGTGCCCGGGGTGGCTCAGTCAGTTAAGCATCTGACTTCAGCTCAGGTCATGATCTCACCATTGGCGGGTTCTGTGCTGACAGCTCAGAGCCTGGAGCCTGCTTCGCATTCTGTGTCTCCCTCCCTCTCTCTGCCCCTCCCCCACTCACGCTCTGTCTCTCAAAAATAAATAATAAACATTTTTTAACAAGAGTCTTTAAAAAAAAAAAAAAAAGAGGAAGGTTCTGGTTACCTGTATGGCTCTAGTCAGGGGGGTCCCAGGATGAACTGGGAGGGAGGAGCTGGGAAAGAACTGGATTGCTCTTCAGGACAGAAGGGAAGGGCTTTTGAGGTTCCCTGAGGACATCTAGAGGGGAGGAGAGTGAAGACAGTGAGGCCTGGTGCCTCATGGGAAAAGCCAAGAGTGAGACCCCCATACCAGGGAGTATATCGAGGGACTGTCCATGGACTCACAAGACCTATGCACTGTGATCTCCCCCACAAGCTACACAGTGTTGGTAAAGGCCTTATGAACAACCATAAGGGCTCAGGAGATCCACACACCTTGAACGCCATGAGAGGTGCTCAGTTCAACATGGCGGTCTCAATGCCATGCTAAGCAGAAGACTCTTCGTAAAAAGAATTGCCATGGCTGCATACCCTTTCATAGTGGTCACCATTTCTGCATTTCCATAACCATCCCTTATTTGGGGGCATTTGGTTGGTTTCCAATTTTCCACTCTCATTAACAACAAAAGCAAACAAATGGGCTGAGCCGTGGTTGGCTAGGGTGGACAGGGTTGGGAAAAGAGGCCCAGCTCCAGGGTAGCACTGGGGGTCTTCCGTGGAGACGTTCACAGCCCACATCGCCGAAGTGCAAAGCGCAGAGGAAACCCAGGCGCAATCAAGACGGCGGCTGCTACCCAGGGGGCCAGCCTGGGTGGTGAGGACAGAGCACGGCCAGCTCGGGGTGGTCCTGGAGCCGCCCAACTTCAAGCAGGTAGTGGCAGGGGGATTCTGATACCGTGTGAGGGTCTGGCCAGCGGCCCAGGTACCAGGAAGCATGACCCAACGGCCCCGATGGCCTTACTTGGACCATGGGCGCCAAGTTCTTGCCTATTCCCACGGACTTCTTCAGGACTCAAGGCTGGAGCAGGTCCAGACTGCGCTTCCAGCTCACACCCAGGTCTCGCGGGGCCTGACCCAGGTCCTGGGCAGAGCTGGAAGGAGCGAAGCTTAATTGCATCAGAACAGAAGCCTGCCGAGCCTGCCGACGTTCTTAGCCCCCGCAATCAATCTTCCACCCTGTAAATAGAGTTAGAAGTGCGACTCTAGCAATTAACAAGCCCATCATTTTCCTCTTCTTCTCTAAGTAAATTAGAAAGGCTCTCTGCTCCCACTTTGCAACGGGCCCTCATTTGTAAAGTGCGGCTCTAAAAGCATTGCTGAGGGCTGTCCTTCCAGAAAAAGGTGTCATGCCTGATGCCCAGTAGGCCACAAGGCTTGGCTTCCAGCCCTGGTTTTGCGGCCAATCGGTGTGTGATCTTTGGCCAGGCCAGCACCCCACTCTGGGCCTCGGTTTCCC